TGCTATCTCTCTCTTTTCCCATCATTTCCCTATCATTAAGACACAAAATGATGATATTCACGGCCAGTGTAAGGGTTCCGCTCGGCCCACTTTAAACTAGCCATCTCTCTGATTGTGTCTCCTATTTCTCTTATTATCCTAGACCTTCAAAACAAATCCCCACCCCTGCGTCCTTCTCTTTTCAAATCCAGGACGTAACAATATATATGTATATAGGACTATGTTACCGACAGATTTGGATACTTAGTTCCATTTTGCCAGGTGTCAGTCTGCGAGGGCGCCAAAACGCTGTCCCCCAAAAATACATGGGAGTGAACAGGCCCTGAGTCGGACTTGTGTCGGCAAATGGAGCGCTTCTGGAGCGTAGAGGAAGGATTCGGGCAGCCTGGCTTGCCGAAGAAGGAGGCTCTGTGCGAAGAGGAGTTTCGAAATACGCATAGACGAACGTCGGAGAGACGTTTCGTGGTGGATCTTTCCTTTAAGGAGAGCTCTAATCAGTTAGGAGAATCGAAGAGAGCAGCGCTGACAAAGCTGCAATCAGTATGGCGGAGACTGAATCGGGACGCTAGCTTGAGAGCGCAGTATAAGGAATGTTTAAATGACTATCTGAAGTTGGGGCACATGTTGAGAATCGATGAACTCAAGGAGACGGAGAGCGGGTTGGTGCATTACTTACCACATCACGCGGTTGTGAAGGAGGATAGTACATTAACCAAATTGAGAGTCGTGTTTGACGCGTCTTGGAGGACATCGTCCGACAAGTCGTTGAACAACATATTGAGGATCGGTCCGGCTCTGCAGCGAGAATTATTTGAGATTGTATTGCGTTTCCGGCAGCATCAGTACGTATTGACGGGAGACGTACAACAAATATATTGGTAAATTTATATTAATCCGAAACAACGAGGGTTACAGAGAATTTTATGAAAGCGAGATTTGGAAGCGTCAGTGGAAGAGTTTATGTTACAGTAACGTTCGGAGTCGCGGCAGTCCCATTTCTAGCGGTAAGATGCTTGCATCAACTGACCTACGAGTGCCAGCAAGAGAATTCAAAGATCGGTGAAATAATTCTACGAGATTTTTATGTGGATGATTTGATCATCGGAACGGACGACGCGGAGGAGCTGGATTAAAACGGGAATGAGCGAGGTTCTTCGACGCGGAGGATTTTTGATGCACAAGTGGAAGTCAAACTTAGGAAAGATCACGGAAGATCGAGGGCCGGCGAGTGAGACAGGACAGAAACCGTTGGGCGAACAGGTCAAGACGCTTGGCTTGTATTGGGATGTTGCGGCGGATTCGCTCTCATCTCGAGTGAACGTCACCCCGCGCGATGGATAATAGAGTCATCAAAAGAATGGTACTCGCTGTCATGTCGCAAATTTACGACCCGTTGGATCTGGTGAATCCGGTTGTCGTCCGGGCAAAGATCTTGATGCAGCGTTTGTGGCAGTGCAGGGTCGGCTGGGACGAATCCTTGCCGGAGGACTTGCACACATCTTGGAAAAGGTATCATCGGCAGTTGCACGCCCTCGAGGAAATAAGTATCTCAAGAGGAATAATTCCGACATCGCCGGTAAGGATAGAATTACATGGATTTTGTGATGCGTCCGGAAGGGCATATGGCGCCTGTTTGTACGTGAGATCCATTAACGACAAGAATGAGCGAAGCTGCCGGCTCGTATATGCGAAATCTCGCGTCGTGCCAATGAAGAAAATTAGTCTGCCACGTCTAGAGTTGTGCGGAGCATTATTGTTGGCACGGTTGATGGAGAAGGTTATTCAGTTGCTTGGATTACGGGTTGACGAGAGACACTATTGGTGTGACTCGAGTGTGGTCTTGGCCTGGATTGCTGGAGAGCCCGCGCGATGGAAAACGTTTGTTGCAAATCGAATCACGGAGATACAGGAGGTATCGTCGAGGTCTCAGTAGCATCATGTTCGGTCAGAAGAGAACCCGGCAGATCTGGTATCGAGAGAACTCGAGCCGCAAAAGCTGGAGGACCAGGATTTGTGTGGATGGAAGGGCCCAGTGTGGTTAGAAGAGGAAATTTTGAAATATCCGGCGAAACCGACGCCCGAGTCGGAAGTGCCCGAAGGAAGGGTGATGTCGATAATCGTAGGGGTGCAACCCGCATGGAAGGTCTTACAGCGGTATTCCTCGTTAAAGCGATTGAAAATGGTTGTCGTTTATTACTTACGGTTCGTGCACAATTGCCAAAGGACGGATAATCGACGATCCGGTTGGATCACAGTAAGGGAATTGGAGAAGGCGATGAGCATTATATTAAGACATCATCAGGGACAATATTTCGCACCGGAGATTGCGGCATTACAAGCAAAACGCAGGATTTCAGGGAAAAGTAAGCTGGTATCGCTCAACCCCTTTGTGGATGATGCGGAATTGTTACGCGTAGGCGGTCGTTTGAAGAACGCTCCGTTCTCTTACTCTCAAAGATTTCCGGTGATTCTGGTGGGACTCGATCATCTTATTAATCTGATCATTAGAGATGCACATTTGAAAAGCCTACATACCGAAGCGCTACTGATAAGGAAAGAGACCCAAGTGTCCCCCTCCGATTTCGATGAGCTTTTGATATGTTATTTTTTAGACAAAACCAAAAATTAAGCTATCGCAAATTCGTGTCGCTTCGCGCTTTTAAGGGGTGAAACACCTCTCAGAAAAAATTTTTTTTATTTCAATGCGAATATCGTCGAAACTAGAAGAGATAAAAGAAAATGTTCCGAATAAAAGTTGAATGGCTTTAAGAGTACTTTGTAATTATAATTAAAATAATTTTTTATTGCTTAATTTTTTGTTTACCCCCACCACCAAAAATTTTTTTTGAATTTGTTGATTTTTTTTAAACCAAATTAGAGGTTATTTTAATACAAATTCAACCATGTGTGACAAAGTTGTTTTCCGAAGTATCATTTTCGAGAAATAATTATAAACGCCTCTATACGCACACCATCCGTGCTCGTTTACGCGGCACGCACGCAGCAATTCTTCACGCAGCACGTTCTGCTTGCATTTTTGCATTTAACAAGGGATAACGATGAAAGCAAATCTATTTCCGCAATATTCTGCGTATGTATAACTATGAATCGTTTTTATCGCGCACGGCTGAACAACGCTTACGAAGCATTTGAGTGTTACATAAGTGTCAAGTTAAATCGATATAAACAAATCTATTGCGGAAACAGTCTGTTTACGTTTAATCACAGAAATATTTTCGTCATTAAATAAATTTCAAGAAAGTTTAGAAAGAGGAGTCGCTGTTCATTGATATTGCTCGATGAGCCATTCGAGGGGAAGAGGAACTTTTCCCCGTTCCAGGATTTAAAGCATCACATCACGTTGGGTAAGAAAATTTAAAAGAATTCACAAAATTGTATCCCGAAAAATCACAAAAGTTATAACAAAAAAAAACTACTCAATTGAAAGAACATTTGCAAGCAGAAAGCAATAGGTTTATTGAAAATGTTAAATATCATATTACGCGGCATGAATTAGAAAATAGAATTTGTGATTTTACTGTTTTATTTATACTATATAAGTTGTAAAGATGTTATTCACTTCATATTATGTACAATTAAATAATGTTAATAGTAAAGATTTAATTAATCTTCTCCTTATTTCACCTTTTTTCCTTTTTGCGATTTCGTTTTTTTTATATATATAAAACCCATAGACTTATAAGATAGACTGCGCGCCCTATTGTTCTCGGTGAGGCAGAAGCTAGAGTGAGAGGGCTACACTCCACACTTCTCTTGTCCTTGTTCAATCGTTGGTGGGGAGAAGAAAAGAGGGGAGACCCGCGCCGCGCCGACCGCCGTCAGCCGTGCCGACTCAGGAACCGAAAGAATCAGTGAACTAGTGTGAAGCAGCGAACCTTGCTTGGTGTGTGACTGTGAAAATAGTATCAGAATAGTAAAATATTAAACAGCAGTTTTGTTAAGTTCTGTAAGTCTATGTTTTTTCGTTTCCCGAGTCGGCACCGGCTGACGGCGGCCGGCGCGGCGCGGGTCTCCCCTCTTTTCTTCTTCCCACCAACGATTAAACAAGGACAAGAGAAGTGTGGAGTGTAGCCCTCTCACTCTAGCTTCTGCCTCACCGAGAACAATAGGGCGCGCAGTCTATCTTATAAGTCTATGATAAAACCTAACCTGGAAGTTAAAATTAAATGTTATGATAATTACAAATTTCGTATATTTTTATTTCATTATTTATTTCAGTATTTACAATTTAAGCATATTTATTTCTATCTTTAATCATCATTTTTAATCATTGTTCAAAAACATCGTTTTTAATCGTAATTATGAACGATAAAAAGATTATCATGTATAAACAATTCATTAGGACAACGCTTTAATTATTTATGATAAATTTTATCAAAACGATAAGTTACTGTAGACATTCTATCGATATTTTAACGATTAAAATTGTTTTTATCAGCTAATGATAGAAAACAATAGGAAATGATAACAATTTCTTTCGGAACAGAGAAAATAGAACGATAGATACGATAGGACACGATAAAATATTTGCCAGATCCTATATTAGTTTTTATCGTTTTCTATCGATTTTTTTTAACAGGATAACTACTCGAACAAAAATATTTCTGTGATTAGACGTAAACAGATTGTTTCCGCAATAGATTTGTTTATATCGATTTAACTTAACACTTATATGACACTCAAATGCTTCGTAAGCGTTGTTCAGCCGTGCGCGATAAAAACGATTCATAGTTATACATTCGCAGAATATTACGGAAATAGATTTGCTTTCATTGTTATCCCTTGTTAAATGCAAAAATGCGAACAGAACGTGCTGCGTGAAGAATTGTTACGTGCGCGCCGCGTAAACGAGCACGGATGGTGTGCGTATAGAGGCGTTTTTAATTATTTCTCGAAAATGATACTTTGGAAAACAACTTTGTCACACATGATTGAATTTGTATTAAAATAACCTTTAATTTGGTAAAAAAAATTCAAAAAATTAAAAAAAAAATTTGGTGGTGGGAGTAAACAAAAAATTAAGCAATAAAAAAATTATTTTCAATTATAATTATAAAGTACTCTTAAAGCCATTTAACTTTTATTTGAAACATTTTTTTCTATCCTAGTTTCGACGATATTCGCATTGAAATAAAAAAACCGATTTTTTTCTAAGGGGTGTTTCACTCCTTAAAAGCGCGAAGCGGCACGAATTTGCAGTAGCAAGCTTAATCTTTGGTTTTGTTTAGAGAATAACATATCAAAAGCTCATTGAAACGGAGGACACTTGGGTCCCTTTCCTTGTGAGTATGCTCAGAGAGCAATATTAGATTATAGCGGGTAGATCAGCGATTAGGAGAGTTGTGCGCAGATGCTTAGTTTGTTATCTATTTAATTGTAAAAACCCGCAAGAGATTATGAGAAATTTGCCGAAGAATAGAGTCAGTCCGGGTAGAGTATTTTTAAACGTAGATGTCGATTATGGCGGATTTAATATTAAAATTTCTCGAAACAAGACCGCCAAGGCATATTTATGTTTGTTTATATGTTTTGGCAACGCGTGCCATACATTTGGTGGAACTAGTTAGCGATTTAAGTTCAGCAGCGTTTCTTAATGCATTAAGGCGTTTTATTGCGAGGCGAGGAAAATGCGCAAACATTTATTCGGATAACGAATTTCGTGGGGGCAAGTAACGAATTGTGAGATTTGGGTGAATTGAAAAATCCTGTCCATCAGCGGCAAGTGGACGAGTTCATGTTGGAACAATCGATACAATGGCATTTCCTGCCTCCTTACGCGCCCCACTTGGGAAGGTTGTGGGAGGTCGGAATAAAATCTGCGAAAACGCGTTTGAGGAAGGTGTTGGAAGATGTGCTTCTCA